TTATAAAGGATGTAAAACACACAATCCAGCATTAATAATATACTATTCCTCATTTATTCAGAAACCACATTCGCTCATTTATTCAACAAATATTTGAGTATCTGCTAAATACTGGGCATTATTCTATTTACTGGAAATACAACAGTGAGTAAAACAGAAAAATTAGTGCTGCCACTGGGTTTACTTTCTAAAGGAAATCACAAATTCTTTCTTGGGCAACATGAAAATTCTCAGCATGGCAATAAGCAGGTGAATATGTTCTAACTATACATAGAACGCTGTACCTTCAGCGTTTCCATTGCATGTTGAACATTCTGTTCAATCGCTGGAGTTTAAAGTAGGTTTACACAGTAACAGTCAAATAATTGTTTTCAAGTGTGCCTTCTATCCGTACCTTTAGAAGCCATGACCCTGACCCTCAAGTCAGACAAAACTATAAAAGATAATACCCACAATTAAACTAGCTATCATTTTTAATATCGGAAGTGCTATGGAGGGAAGAGACAAAACTATGAGAAAAGAATGCAGGACTTTGTCAGGTTCCAAGATCTCAGGCACATGGAACAATCCCAACCTATCTGGCAAGGAAATGAAAAAATCCAATCGAGGGACACAGCCATTTGGGTAGGAGGGTAGGGGCTGCAGACAAATGTGAATACCCTGGATATTAAGTGCAGCATGTGAATCTAAAGAACCTGGGCCATAAAATTTCCTCAAGTTTGAGTTCTCTGGCACCAGGACTCTAGGTACTTGACCTGGGAACACGTCAGAGCATTGGGAAATCTCAGCTGGGTAAAACACACTCCCCAAACCCAGGCTGCCTTACACAGTGTGTGAGCATCTGTGAACTCCAGCAAGATGCATTATGAAGCCGACTCACAATCATGTAATCTGTAAGATTACTCAAGTACACATATAGAAAAACATTTTAGGGGCTGAGGGTGTAGCTCAGTGGTAAAATGTGTGTTGAGCATTTTTGAGTCCTTGGTTTCAATCCCCAGCTGGGGCGGGTATTACTTCAGTTGTCATTCAGACAGTTGAAGTACAGAAAAGAATAAAACACACTACATTTTCAATGTAATAAAACTATGTACAGTAAAGCCAAGCCTATCAACGGGACCAAATGTTAGTCAAAGGCACTTTTCCAAAGTTGCTAGAAACCACTAGTTTTCTTAAAGAGAATAATAAGATTTATACAGTGAACCTAAAAACCTAAGAACTCAATTTTTAAATTTGTCTTTCTATGAAAAAATCCCTCCACCAAAGACATATACCAAAAAAGCCAGTAACCTTCTAAAAATGCTTTAACCACAGTTTCAAATGGTCTGCAAGAAGCCAACCAAAGGAGCTGCTCCTTTTGCTCTTGCCTCCTTCGGCCTCAGTGAAGAACATTAACCACTTGTCCCTCTCTGGCTCCTCTCCTCCTCTCCAACCACCAGACCCTGGAGTAACTCTGGAGGCCAATCCTGGCCCTCCTCTCTCTTCCTGAGGAAGCTCTCTGACAAGGCCAAGCCTCCAGCATTTATTTCTCAAACTCGGATCTTTCCGCACACCCACAGTCCAACACCCCCCAAGCAGCCATCCCGTATCTTAAGACCCATATTCACCAACTGTACCATTAATCATATGGTTGTGTGAGCCAGAGACCCAACACCAACTTCACGCCACCTTCAAATCCAGAACCAAGTTAGAGTAACTGTTCCTCCTCAGAAGCCCCTGAACCCATCCATGTGTCTTCATTCTTAAACGCAGACTTCCAGGGCTGGCAAACTATGCCACAGGCTAACTCCGGCCCACTTCCTGCTTCTGTAAACAAAGTTCTATTGGAACCCAGACCTGCCTGTTCCTTTCTGTACTGGCTTTTGTGCTACAATAGCACTGCCACACCTACAGCACCTAGTACCTGACCTTCTTAACACTCCTCATTATAATGTAACAAACTGGTCAAGGTCACCCTTCCCAGCAGACCACAAGCACCCAGTCTGTGCTTTTATCACAAAGTCATTAGGTACTCAACATGCAGTTAGCAAATGAACAGAACAGCTGGCACCACGCAGTCATAATCACAGTGGGGCTGGGCAAACTGGGAATGGGAAGAAAGTAAAAATAATTTTAAAATACCTATAATAGATTATATACCAAACCTGACATTTGGTGTACTTCTGATCTGAACTATTCAAAGTTTAAAAAAAAAAAATCAGCATACTTTCAAAGTACACATTTATAATTAAGATTCTTTTAAAGGAATCTGCAACTACACCTTTTCCCTTAAATGTTTGAGTAGAGAGAAATTAATAGAAGTTCAAAATTCTGATTTTGAATATGGTTAAAAGCCCTATGTCCAGTAACTTGATATGACTTAAAGCCTAATAGTTTGTCCTTTTGGTAAATTTCTACATGGATAAATTTATAATCTGACATTTTAAGCATGACAAAATTAGCTAGAAGCATGACAAAAATACACTCTATTCAAAATGCTTGGCACCAGAACTATTTCAGATTTTGGGCAGGGGGACTTGGAACTATTTCCATATACATTACGAGATCTCTAGGAGATGGGATCCAAGTCTAAAGACAAAATTTATTCGTTTCATATTTTATACATGGCCTAGTCATCGTTTTATTTATATAACATTTTAAATAATTTTGCTAATGAACAAAGTTTGTGGACCCTGAACCATCGGACCTGTGATGTCAATAATGGGGCTCAAAAGGTCTCAGATCTTGAAGCACCTGGGATGACAGATTTCTAGGGCAGGGAAGCAAAACCCTGGGGCTTCATTTCTTTGCTGTAGAGTACATCTCCAAATCCCACAAGGGGGAGTCCTAGCACCTCCAAACTGCCCATGCAGCATGCTGAATTTTCTAAGAGAAATCTACAAGTTCGTGCTTTTCACAGAGAATGAAACTTTTAAAAAGAAACTATGAGCAAAAAATGAGCCATCTGAAGCAACTACTCAGACTAGCATTAAGGAGCCAACTGAGCACTCAGTGAGAG